AGGGACCCTCGATCTGGAGCGCACAGCACATGCAGAGAAGATGTAGACACACTGCACCCCAGACCCGTCTGGTGTGGAGTAAGGGTTCAGCCCCTCAGTTCAGGTTTTCTCTGCAGTGACAGAATAAGGATGTTCCTCCCATGCAGGCAGGATTAATAATCGAAGGGTTTCTCCCTTAAAGCACGTTGTGACACTACATTTAGATGTGCTGCATGCATTATTCATCTTTTCACAGCAAGAGCGGAGGCAGCTGTCAGTCCTATTAGCGTTTCAGAGCTCTACCCTCCAGCTGCCTCTGAGGGGCACGTCAGGAATGACATTGTCCATGGGACGAGTGGCCCATGCTTTTGGGCTGGGAAGCAATTATTTGCCAGGGTAGCCACAGTCCCAGAAACACCACCATATCCAACTTTAACTAGGGAAGGCTGGAGGAGGAATTTGATACAAAAAGGGAGGGGGTTTCTTACGTCTGTGTTGTACTGAAGGCAGGCTCCCCTCTCAACAGCTTTGCCACATTCCTTCTCTTGCATCTTTGTCTCTCAGAGCTTCTCCACAAAAGACTATAAAAACTAGAAAACTTTGGGATTGTAGCTTATTTTCTCTGCGGTTTGGAGGATACAGCACCTCTCATGTCATACTAATGACTCTGGCTGGGATCTTTCTGTACAATTAATTTGAATACAAAGCACAACATAAGCAATATCCTGACTGCTGTTAGTGATACTTGTGTCCACAATGGCTGGACGTGCTACAGCCTCAGGGAAGTTAAGGAAATCCAACAGTTGTCTGGTTTGTATTCTGCTTACACACGGCTGGGCTATTACAGCTTGGTGGGAGGTCATTATACAAACCCAAGCACAGCTCTACACTCTAAGCACTTAGAGTCTAGGTTAGATATTTTACTGGATGTATTTTAGTCATGCTATTCTCTCTGCTAACAAAAGCTCATAAATTTCCTAGAGAAAACAACATAAATTAGCACAAATTCAAATCTCTCTAACTTATCCCAGCACAAAGCAAGCCTTTGCACAGACAGAACAGCATAGAGCTACTCCCCTGGAAATAAGAGAAATTCTCCCAGTAGGAAATAAGGGAAAAGAAAAAGCTAAAGTTAAAACTGCAGATGAAACATATCTCTTAGGCTGATGACTTGGTACATGATAGCCCTTTGATCTTATCAATTAGAAAACAATTTGACTTCAGTCTTTTCTTCTGGGTATTATGGCCAGCATCATACCAACACTCTAAACTAAAAGGATCTGTTCTAGCTTAAGTATTATTTATTCACATGTTTTATTATTCTGTTTGATGGAGAAATGCAAGGACAGAATCTCATTAAGTGAAGGAAAATAAAGTTTTCTTTTTTAACATCATGAACATGGTAGCTCTGCAATCAGGGGTAATGTTTAAAATACTGAATGTACCTAGAGATATAATGTGGCAAGAAAACTTTCCATGCATTCAATGAGAGATGACAGCATACAGATAAAATACTAATCCCTTGTTATCAGCTCTAGATACCAGACTAAATGCAATTGTCAGAAATTCTCAGCTGAAGTTGACAGGACCAAGACAGGGTTCATACAGGGTCACTGGAAATTCCTGCTTCATTTGCATAAGCATTTCAGCAAGTGCTTGAAGAGTCTTGCTTTCCAGCAAAAGTTCAAGCAATTAAACTTGGCCGCATATTAACAGCAAGCAATTGTTTGAGGCCCAGATCCTCAACGTATTTAAACACTAACTCCTACTGATTTCCAGGAAAGGCAATCCAGCATCTTAGCCCAAATGTCCTGCTAGGTGGAGAAATATAAATCTCTCTGAAGCCAATACATCTGTCCCATCCATATGTCTGTTTTATGGAAGTTAAGATGATGGTAGAGAATCAACAACAAATTAGGAAAATATTTTATTTGAGTTTTTAACCATATTTTAACTCCCCACTCTTTCTGACAAAGGATAATGAACTTTTTTTTATTCTCTCAAGGTATGATAATATCCTCAGATAAAATTCATATTGGATTTTGTAAGTATTTGGTATATTCTTTATTGTCTTAGTCTTCAGCCATTAGCAGTGAATCGCTGTGTTGTTATACAAACCAGAAAACAACAACTACAAATAACAGTCAGTCTCTGCCTCAGGACACACAACAAGCTGAAAAGAATGATCTGAAAATGCTTTAGAGATGCTTTCCAAAAACAGACTTACTGTTTATGGCCAGAACAGATGCCTGCTAATTCAGGTGGGCACTTAAACTATAAAGGCAGATTATATCTACACACAGATTTCCGAGTCGCTTGCACTATGGCCATGGCTGCGCCAGAAGTTCATCCAGCCTGAATGAAAGGTGAAGAAAGGCTGCCACGTCTGTTTTAACATTTTAGGCTGGTAACTGTTATTAAACTGGGATTTGCCCAGGATGTGAAAACTACACGCTCCTCCAGTAAGCAAATTCATCATGCAATATGACATGCAATATCACAGCCTTGGTTGTTGATGATGCCTGAACACCAGATCTTTGACTATTTATGTGCATATATAGATTCTTATACCAGGGGCAAAAAAGAGGCTAGAACCAGGAGCCATTTGTAAGAGGTAGAATGATTTGGTGGTTGCATGTTGACCTGAAAATCAGAACAGCTATGTTTTCTTTCTTTTTCTCAGCAACATGCATCCAGTGTCATCTGGCAAGCTCACAGAAACTTCCTATGCTTCATTTTATTCGCATGTAAAATCTGATTAATCAGTAATGTGAATAATTTAAACTTTCCTTCATCACTGTTGGCAAAAAGGTAGTCAAAAAAGGTATTTTAAAGGAACCCTTAACAAAGAGTGTGTACGGCGAAGGATAACCATGGGCAGGAATGGAGCTGGAGTTCCAGGAAGCTGCTTAGAGCTCTACCATTGCCTGTTTGGAAAGCAGAGAAACAGCATTGCACCTCTGCATCTCTCAGCTTCCCAATCCATAAAATAGAGGTAACAGTACCAAGGTTCACTTTATAAAGCACTTTGACTGAGGACTGAGAAAGTTACCTTCATACTGGCATCTTGCTTCTAGGAACTATCTTTTCAGAAGCGCACTATGACCACCCTCTCCCACTTCTACTGAACACCCCTTTCTTTTTGAAGTTATCAGCTTCCTATTGTTTTAATGTTGTTAGTGATCCTAGTCAGAGATGGAGAGCTAAGATGAGCAACAAAAACACAGGCCTTCATTTAGAGACATAATCTGTTTAATAAATATGACTGTAAAAGCAATAAACAATAGCAATTATACATTACGCTACATTGTATTTAACGAAAGGGAAAAAGATGAAAAAGTACATCAAAAAAAGTAATTTTAAAATTAGAAATAGTTCCAACACTATAAGAAAACTTTTTGATCGACTTACTATAAAAATAAGTTGGCTAATGTTGGACTTCAGTGGGGAGTATTATACAGTTGCTGCCAAAACTTTCCCATCTTTCATAAAGCTGTGGTAGCAAAGACAAAGCCATACAAACTGCTGTGTTTCTACCTGTCTTCACAGAAACTATAGAAAGAGGCAGAGGACTCTCTACTGTGAATATCCTTTAACTACTACGGGTCTAACGTTCTTACACTCGGTATCACTTTTTTCTTTGCCTGCAAGTCGGTTGATTTGGGCTCATGCGCAATTTGTGACAGAGCAATCCAAACCCACCACCACCACCAAACTCCTGCCCCGGGACTCCAGGCAATGCCAACAAAGCTGCTTTCTCCTGGTTTTGACTTGGTTTGCTGTGTGCAGTGTCTACGGAACAAAACTCACTCATGTCAGGAATCAGAATGCTTCCTAAGTGTGCTACACTGGTTATGAACTAGTCTCTATTTGCCTTTGCCTAACATAGTTAAACATGTGTACATCGGTTACTGACTTTCTCTTTGCATTTCAAACCAAAATCCTGGTGCTACGTTTACCTGAGTTGGGTCAGAAATCAACAGATGTAATGACCACAGGTCATTCAGCTAGGTATCCAGTGTCTTGGGAAGACTCATTCAAGGTATGCTAAGCCTGCTTCCCTGCTGTTCCCCTGCATAGTCTATATGAACATGTCCTGCAGCCTCATTTCTAGTTCCAGTGTAAGATACCTGCTTATGTTATAGGTAAGAAATCAAATCTCATACAAGAGTGATCCTGTGGTGCTGGGGCTCAAAATTCTCAGGCCAAATCCTCCTTTATTCTCCCTGCTCTGCCCAGAGTGGCAGGAGTTTGCAGATCTGCAACCAAGAGAGGTTGCCAAGAAGGCCATAGCAAACTGTGCATAGACCTTTCCCTGCTTTCTATTCTATGGACAAGGTGTCTTTCAAAAAATTGACAGGCCTTGACGTCACTCCCAAAAGGCAAAGATCTCCTGCAACTTCCCCAGACAAATCCAAACTTCAGCACTAAATGCAGCTGAGGGTGTTACTAGGGCTTTCTCTTAGCCAAAATTGAAGGTATAAGGCTGGTACAAAGTACAGTGTAAGTTCATGCTGGCAACAATCTCCTGCTACCGCAGTATGGACAGACCTTCTTGCCTGTAATGCATGCTAGTTCTGTTCCATTCAAGGTTAGGAGGCAAAAAGTTATCTTTCAATGGTGCTATCAGTGGGATGCCTTGATGCGAGTAGGCTAAAAAAGCTGTTTAAGAAAGAGCCTGGCCTTGCAGTTGGGATCACCCACACTCACACTCAGCCTCCTCACAGCTGTGGGGCACAGGCAGCAGCTGCAGCTAGAGGAAGGAAGGACAGAGTCCAAACAAAGACATAAACCAGTCTGACCAGGAATATTTTCAGTGCCTTTAAACTCCAGTGTGATTTTTTGTGTCCCCTATGAAAGTCTGCTGGGGCAGCTAGCCCTCCCGCAGCCCAAAGTGCTAAAAGAGCAGTTAAATCTAAAGCCAAGAACCCTAAATACCCCCTCCCCCCTTCCCCAGCCCTTCTCCCCCCATATCCCAGCCCACCCCCCTCCCTAAAGAAGAGACCCCCATGCATATTCTTGGCCTATATCATTATGAATTTTCTACAAATTAGAGACAGATCAGAAAAAAGAGAGTGGAGGGGTGAGGGGAAGGGCCACAGGAGTGAATAGTGGTATCAGTTCCTCTCCCCCCACCCCCCACTAAAATTGAACACCTGTACAATGCAGTTCCACTATGGTCTCAGTATAATGTCCACATGCACAGGCTTAAAGCTAAAAACCCTTTGTCATCTGAAGAATTAAAAAGTCCAAATGCAGTGAGCTCTCCTCTTTTTTTAGATATAGATATATATCGGTGTCCTCAATTCAACCATTTACATAGGTAGGGATTTCTTTTGTGCTCTGGGGCTCAGCAGCTGTGGAAATACTTCCTGTGGCAAAGAAAGAACAAAATAAAAGAGTCAGTGAATAACAAGTGGGTTTAGCCAAGGAAGATGTTTGAAGGTATCACCTTGCTGACCTTTGGGATTCAACCGTTCCAGGCTGACATGTCCTCCCAGAAATGTTTTCTTGTCATTCAAAACACTGAAGGTGATGTCCTGTTCTTTTACTAATGAAGATGATTCACCCATGTTGCACAGAAGAGGGAGAGGCCAGAGCACAGGGGTGGAGGGAAGGAGGGGTTGAGGTCCTCAGAGGAAACGTGTAACTCATTTGCAATGATAAGGTGTTGGAGATTTCATAAATAACCTTAAGCTTTGCATTTGCAAAAGAAGAGCCTAAACCACTCACATCCAAAAAACAGGAACTGTTTTTTTGCTGCCAGAGTTTGGACAGAAAATTAAATGATTCAGGGACATTCGTTCAGATTCCTCCAAGGAAGTATTCCTGAATGTTAGTCAAAGGGGTTGAAAAAACCTGGCTTCTGAACAAGCATACAAAAGAGAAACACCCAATTACAGTCTTGCTTTGTTTTCCCAAAAGAAAGAAAACTCATTAAAAAAGAAATTGCTGATTTCCAGAAACAGATGAGGTGGTTGTATAGGAGAGTGAAGAGCCTTTGCACTTTCTATTCTGCTCACACTTAGGCCCAGACCTTTTCATTTTGTCAATGAGCTCTGATTCAGTTGCCTCATTCATCTTACTGACAGGATGGAGAAACACTCTTAGGAAGTTTGTTGGACTGATTCCTTTTGATAGAGAATTGAGTCTATGTATCCCACACATTTACCTTTTGTGCTCACTAGTGCAGTTACAGGTGCAAACCAAGGAGTTATAAAAGGTCAATTCCTGGTTCAATAACAGTGTCCAGTAGCACAGCTGAGAGTCACACAAAATGCTGGCTATTGTAGAACGCCAGAAATGCTGTAGTTGCACCAAATCAAAACCTACCCCCAAAATTCGCTTTTGACTACTCTTATCCCAGAGGTTTCAAGGGCTTATTTTCCAACATCAGCAAGAGCAGTTTTGAAAGTACCTTGCATAGACCTAGAAGGTGACTGACTCTTGCCACTTCAGTCTGAGTGACCTGTGAAAACATGTGTTTCCCTACCCCTGGAACAGCATGAACCATGGTCATTACATTCTTTCAGAAAGGGGAAGCTCAAAGCCCGTCTAACTCTAGAAAGAGAGCTCCTGACCTGAAATTGGGTGTTTCTCCCTTAGCATCTTACATCAATTTTGCCTTGGAGGCTTCTGGGGGAAAAAGAAAGAAAAAAAAAACAAACGAAGAAAAGAATTGTTAAAGTTTTGGACCCACCGCTCCGGGTCTTGGCTTGAAACCTCTTGGTGATCCACAAGCCTTTTGGAAGTCCTCTGTCCAGACTACCTTGGTTGCATTTCCTTTCCTTGGGTTCTGGACTGTGGCCTGGGGTTGCTCTGTATGGGGAACACCACATGGGAAGGTTGGTCCCCTCACTCCATCCTGTATTCTGCTAAGCAGGGATGTCCAGGTCTGCTGATGAATAGCTGCTTAAAAGCTTTTCATAACTACCTGATCTCTCCTTAGTGAACAGGTGAGGAGAGATCAGTATTGATCGCAGTGGGGCTTCCAGCTTAGATATCAGTTTCATCAAGAGACTTTCTTCTTTTTCCTCCCAGATTGTTTCACAGGGCACAATCAGCACATCACATTCGCTCCTTTAATTGACCTTTCCCTTGCTCCCTCTCTGCAGTAGCTATGACTCCAAGCCTGCTTTACCAAACACTCCCATACATTTTAGGGACATCCTCAGGTAGGATCTAAGGTTTGGTTAAGCTGATGAAATTGTGCAGATAAGGGATCTCAGTTATGACTATGCTTCACTCCTTTCTAAGTCAAAACAGCTATAAACTTTAATTCCTCTAAAATAGGTCCGTGTCTTTATTTGCAGGGGTCCTGTACTGTACCTCTGGTCTGGGCCTGCAGAATTGTCACCTCACAAGCGAAGCTGAGCAATGCCAGAGCAATGGCTGAGCAATGCTGGCTTTAGTAGAACATGTCCCCGGGCTGAAACCTCCCTGCTTCATCCCAACACTTTTACTGTAGTCAGGGTAACAGAAAACATATAAGCATGAGCAAATATGTGACGGATCCCAGTATGTCTCCTTCAAGTTTATTCACTTTAGGTCCCCTGAAAGCCTGCTTTGCAAATTTTCAATCAGAGGTCTGTAAGAGAAATCAGCCTGAGGGCATCCCAGCTGTCCAACACTGAGATCCCAAGATTTGCTCGATTTCCCTGGGAATCAACCAGGTTAGCATTGTTGCTAGCAACAAGGTCTGGCACAGCACAAAGGCCAGAGCAGTCAAAACATCAATGTATATTTAGCTTTTAGATCTGACTTACCGAATCACCTGCTCACCTCCATATTCCAAGTGAGGGTGGCTGAAGTTCTCCTGGATGTGGGGTTCAGCCCCGTAACTATATCAGCCCCAGCAAAATAAATTAAATTGCCTTACAGAGCAAGTTAAGTGCCAGCAGGACTTTTGAGAAGGGGAGGGGATCTATGTACAGCAACTAGGAGACAGAAAAAGCCTGAAGTTGTTACCCTTCCTTTCATCACATGTCAGTGAGGGAGAGGGAAGAGTTAGCAAAGTTTCCTGTAGCAAAACTAACGCTGCAGCAGAAGAGGATGGGAGGAGGAGTGTGCAGGAATATGGGAAGGAAGGAGGCTGAGAAAAGGATTAGCCAATTATAAGTTAGAGTCTGATCAGCTGCGAGATGCTGCAAGTTATTTACCTATGGGCTGGACTTCCAACTTCTCATCTACTAGTTGCTCAGGGCTCATCAGCTCTCTTTGAGGGACATTAGGTATGCTTTCCCTCTGACTGACTGGACTGACCATCTCTTGATCTTTTTCATTCTGCATCTGTGCATATATATTAAGGCCAGGAATCTTCCTAAAATATTAACAGAAACCATCATTGTGGGCTACTCTGGCAGATGATGTAGTATCAGCTTTTACAAACCAAGAAACAAATCACTGTGAAAAAGAAAACCCAGCAAAACAAAATCCAAATACCTCAGTGAAAGGCAGCAATGGGGAGAAGGAAATGGTTCAGGGAGGATCATACCTTTTGAACTTGTAGATTACAAACACAGCTAGTCCCACAAAAACGACAGAGAGGAGCATCAGCATAGCTGAACCACTGTGACTGGGAGTGAGGTCCACCAGGGGAGCTGCAAGAAAGGGGGAGAAGGTTAGAGCCTCCCCCAGCCTGGAGTGAAAGTTGCTCCCTCCAGAAACATAGTGCATTCCCCCCTTACTGCACTTGTAGCAGGCCTCATCTGTCCACATGTCTCCAGGGCTTCGCTCCCTTTCTCATCCACCTGGGTAGAAACCTCTGGTTCAGACCACTTGTGGTGCTCAACTTACCCCTTGATGTGAAGTCCCATAGCTTTCTCCTTAGAGGCCTCTCTTCTCTGGCCTATTAGAGGACTGCCTCAAACATACTCTCTCATACTGCAGACAATTACCTAAGGTAGTTGCAAATGAGGTCACTTGGGTACCAAAACTGGCATTTTCTGGATGATCCTGGAGCTACCCACAGGCTAACTTGTCACGTTGACTTTCTATTTTTTCAGACCTAGTTCGCGTAGCTCCCAATGCATAGTGAATAATGAGCAACTGGCTCCTCAGTTTTACTGAAGCAACGATGCTCACCAAATGTATTGTTCTCTGCTTAGTCCTGTTCCTTCCCGACCAGAAGTGCAGTGCCCTTCACAGACACTGCCTCAGCATCCATGCTTTATTATGGCAAGCTCTTCTCACACCTCTGATATTTTC